ATCAATTTATGCCTACTTTAGGGGTTATTGATTCACCTTGTTCCTAGAATCTGGACAACATCCAAACGAAACATTTAAACAATTCAAGCATTCAAACATCAACACATATACATCATCAAACCATTTCAATCCAATCATTAACGACCAATTCTCGGTAACATACTTATTAACCCTTCATCATATAAGCTATAAATTAACATTAAATCACACTTCAAACATCTAATTCTTATGGTATAGGTGAATAATTATAGTTACCTCACTTAAAAATTTGGCCTTTCTTCTTCTTTTCCTCGGCTCCTTACTTCCTTTTCTTTCCAAAATTTTGACCAAGTGAAGAATTCTTCCCTTATCTTTGCTTGATTCTCTAAGATGGTTTAGAGTCTCTCTTTTTTGACTTAGGTTTTTCTCCCTTTTCTTTAACTCTTGCCCACTTTCTTCTCTCTCATGTCTAGAATTCTAGATTTTTTAGCCCATTTTATCCCTTAAGTTCAACTAATGGGTCCCTTACATTATTGCTACTTTACACTTTAGTCCTTAAACTTCGAATCCTTGTAATTTAGCTATACAATTTTAGTCCATAACTTCAAAATTTCCATTAATTTGGCCTTCTTCTAGGCCAATCCTAAGGTTAATTTAAGTCCTTAAGGTTTCTTAATTATGTTAATTAAGGACTTAATCCTTTAATCCTTACGATTATATCTTTAGATTTTGTAATTGCACCCCTATGACAATACATAACCATATCAATTAAGGGTACCATTGTCCGATTCAAGCTTCCCTCATTCCATTTACCAATTTCGTAAATGTTACTTATGTTTTCTTTATTTTTAATTGAATTTCAAGCTTTACTCACATATGTAACATATTCACCTTCATTAATTAAACAAAATATCTATCTATAACATTTATATTTCTTGGAGGATTTTGGGTCACGGATATTACAATAACCCTATGGCTTTTACCGATAAAAATTCTTCCCTTCTTGTCTACTACCTCCGTAGTTCAAGTTTGGATACTCTCTCAACCGGGATTGTATGGGTTAGAGTTTGGGTCATATTGCCTTGATCGACCACCAAAATTACTAGCTACATTGACTTGCTCATTGGTCCCTCTTAGATTGTTAGGCAAACATACGTGGCATGACCTAATACTAAATAAATCCCATAAGCCTTAATAGCTTATAAATTCCCCATAACCATATGTCTCACCAATGAAGTCAAATATAACATTTATTGCTTAAAAGTAGATACATTGACCTTATTGACCCTTTTGGGTGTGTGATCCAATCTTGCACCAAATTGTTGAGAGTTTGCTACAATATATATTTATATATTGCCGTTTAATTAATTTTTTATTAATTGTTAGCTAGTTTAATTTATTTTCCTTTTAGTGCTAATTTGTTAATTGTTAATTAAATTAATTATTTGTTAAAAAACTTAATTAGTTGTAAAAAATTAAAATTTTAAACTTTTTAAAATTTTTAATTTGGTTTTAGTTTAATTAATTAGTTTTTAATAAATTTATTTAGTTGTTAAATTAAGTTAATCGATTGCTAATTAAAACACTTAAGTGTTTAAAAAATTTAATTAGGTGTTAGGTTAATTCATTAGTTGTTAATTAAGTTATTTAGTTTTATAAATTAAGTTAATTAGTTGTTAATTAAATTATTTAATCATTTTAAAAATTTAATTAAGTATTAGTTTGATTAATTAGTTTTTAATTAAGTTATTTAGTTGTTAAAAAAAATTAGTTAGTTGTTAATTAAATTAATAAAGTTAAAAAAAATTAATAAGGTGTTAAGTTTAATTAATTAGTTGTTAATTAGGTTTTTTAGTTGTTAAAATAAGTTAATTAGTTTTTAATTAAATTAATTGAATATTTAAAAATTTTAATTAGATGTTAATTTAATTAATGAATTGTTAATTAAGTTATTTGTTGTTAAATTAAGTTAATTAGTTGTTAATTAAATTATTAAATTATTTAAAAATTTAATTAGGTATTATTTTTTAATTAAGTTATTTAGTTTTAAAAAAATTTAATTAGTTATTAATTAAATTAATAAAATATTTAATAATTTGTTAAGTTTAATTATTTAGTTGTTACTTTAGTCTTTTAGTTGTTAAAATAAGTTAATTAGTTTTTAATTAAATTAATTACATATTCAAAAAAATTTAATTAGATATTAATTTAATTAATTAGTTGTTAATTAACTTATTTAGTTGTTAAAAAAATTTAGTTAGTTGTTAATTAAATTAATTAAAATTTTAAAATATTTAATAAGGTGTTAAGTTTATTTAATTAGTTTTTAATTAAGTTATTTAGTTCTTAAAATAAGTTAATTAGTTGTTAATTAAGTTAATTAATTGTTTAAAAAATTTAATTACATGTTAGTTTAATTATTTTGGTGTTAATTAAGTTATTTGTGTTAAAATCGGTGAATTTTTTGTTAAAAGAAAAAATTATTTAGGTGTTAAATTATTTATTATTTTTCCATCGAGATTATTATTAAAGTATTTATGTATTTATTTTTGAAAAGTGAAAAAATTTAAAGTATTTGGTCATCGATATTTGGGTGAAACCGGAGGGATAGACATCACTAGGGAAATAATTGAGAATGCATAAGGTTGATGTCAATGCTCCCCGATGGAGATGAGAGGATAGGATTGATTAATTTGGTGTTTATTATGTTTTGGGTTATTTGGGAAATGTCTAGTTTATAGGGGAAACTCTATCAAAATTTTGTTAGAATTTGAATTAGGTGTAACAAATATTTATATGATGTCCAATGCACCATTTGTAACAAATAATAACTAGTTATTATGTTTTTTTCTTCTTGAATTTGCAAACAAAACTAATTATGAATTCGGATAGTTCATGAATTGATTATAGATATACCAATGGTTTTTAAAATTAGTGTTTCATTGATGGCGTAAATGAAGTTATTGATTTTACTATTAGTCATCTTGAGTGTATGGACGAAAATAAGATAAGATGTTCTTATAAACTCAAAAAGTGTCAAAATCGTAGTTATGAAGATCCCGACACGCTTAAGTATCATTTGATGGGATATGGTTTTGTGCTCACATATTATTTATAGAGACGTTATGGAGAAAGTGAGTCGGTTGTTTATGATGATAACTTGAGAAATTTTGTTAAAGTTGAACAAATCTTTGATGAACCTCCAACCAATCCATATCACACAATGATAATGAATGCAATTGGTCCATCATTTATTCCATCTAACACTAACGAAGGCCTAAATCATAATGCTTAGGCATTTTATGATTTATTGAATGCATCCAATAAAAAGACTCGGCTCGGTTTAGAAAACCACTCATAATTATCTACATTAGCATGTTTGTTACACTCGAAGTCCGAACATCATTTTTCAAAAAGATGTTAGGATGAATTATGTCAACTTATGAAAGAGTTGATGCTTGTTGATACCTGTATGCTTGAAGACATTTACAGTACGAAAAGTTGATGGAATTGATGAGTTTACCAATTCAACGGATCCACAACTATATAAATAGATGCATGATTTATTAGGGTGAAGACAAGTAAGAGAATTACTTGTAAAATCTATAACTATCCTCAATATCGAAGTCCTAAGCGAAGATCGATTAGAGAAACTTATGTTTCATATAAAAAAATGTACTATTTTTTCATAATCCCAAGGTTACAGAGGATGTATGCATCGAATGTCACGAGTAGTGACATGACGTGGCATGCCAAACATGAAGTTGAGGCGAGATGTCATGCGTTATTGCTCTAACTCCTTTGCAAGCTAGCATTTTGATCAAACACATCATTCTTTTGCATAAAAAATTAGGAATGTCAAATTGGAAGTTTGCAATAATGAGTTTTGAATTATACTCGAAATGATTAGGGCCCACATTACCACATGTCATTATTTGATTGGCTACCATTAGTTTTAACTTACCACATAGAATGAATAGTTAATGACGTTATAATGGAGAGCCTCAATCAATAAATTTATAAGAGGAGAAGGATTCAATCAAGCTAAAAATAACAACCGTGTCAATAAAAAAAATTAAAATTGTACAGGGATCAATTATGGGGTAAACCTAAAAAATAATTATGGGATAAAAAATTAGGTTATGAAATTTTTTTTGATAAATTTTATCATTTTTTTTTAATATTTGAAGGTCAAAGTATTTACTATTAACTAAAATGCTTTAAGATCATTTTTTTAATTTTTTTAATTTTTAATTAAAATTAATTTTGAAAAAATAATATTTGATAATTGTTAGCTTTAAGAAAACGTAGATAATTTCATTATTTATGGATTTTACTTTTTTTGTTGGATAATTAATTATGTATAATGGATTCATTTAGTAAAACAAAAAAAATTATTAAATATATATCTTTTCAAAATTAATTTTAACTCTAAAAAAAATTATAATTTTAAAAAACTAATAGTTTGAGGTTCAAATAGCTCAAATTGATAATATAAGCCATATTTTGTCACAATTCTAATAATTTGGAGATAAATTATGTCATTAAAATAATTTTATCGCAATCATGTAGCAAATTTAATAGCTAAACACATTTTTTGTACCTTGTGATTTCACCAATTTGTTAGAAAAATTCTTTTATTATCAATTCAGTCAATTGCGATCCTATATTTTTTTATTTCAATCAATCGAGTATAATTTGATTAAATTAAAAAATAAAATACTTAACAAAAAGGGTGGAATGAATGATGATATTGACATGAATGAAAGAAAAATTAATAATAATGATTAATGTATTAACAAAAGTACTCAATTAATTGAAATAAATTTTTTATTTTAAAAAATTATACTTAAATGATTGAAATTAAAACTACACATGCTTAATTAATTGAATTGATAACATAGAATTTTTTCCAATGAATGGGTGAAAATATACTGCTGAAATAGTGGGTTTACCCAAATTTAATTTTGGGGTAAATATCCTAACCATATAAAGAAAAAAGAAAAAAGAAAAAAGAAAAAATGGGTATGTCGTAGCAACAGGCCTATATCTTCTGGCCAATAGGCCCAAGAAACCATTTAGTCTACACTTCTGCTCTCTCTTTCTCTCTGACCCAAAAGTGTTGAGAATCTCTCTGAGAGTTTGTAAATCGCCCCAAAGTTTCTGGATTCAGTGGTAAGTCTTCGTTTGAATCTGTTGGAGATAGAAACAGAATAAAAGAATCCACTTTCCTTCTGGGTTCTTCAAGAAACATAAGGTTAAGCACCCATTTTGTTTGTCTCTTCAAACTCATGTTATGATCCTTCTTTCTTAACCATGTTGAATCAATTACCCGTAAAGTTTATAGGTTTTTTTTTGTGCTTTTAAGTTAAATGTGAACCCATTTGCTTGTTTCCCAAAATGCATGATCTGATTGTCCAAAGAAAGTTTGTTTCTTTTTTCGTTTTTATTGTTAATAGAAAGATTGAGCTTTAAGTCTCTTACTTGTATTTGCCCGTGTTGGTTTCTAGCAAGTTTCAGGCTTTTTAATTCTTGATGACTTGTTATTAGATGGCAGATCGATATTGGGTCGGTTTCTTTCTGGTGCTTTCATGTCTTGTTGGAGCTTTAGATGCTAGTGCTGGTGATGCTGATCCCATTTACAGGTAAATTTTGAGCCTTCCTTTAATTGCTTTTTTGCTTCATGTGCATCTGGTTCCATTTTTTTTTTTCTACACCTTCAAATGTGTGGCTGTTTCTGTCACATTGGGACACCAAATGCGCTCAAGGGGCTTGGCAGGACTACTGTTCATGTCATTGTATTCCTGTGCTTCCTGCACTTTGGATCGTACGCATTGAGAGTGCGTGTGTGAATTAAATTTCATGGGCAGCTATAGTTATGGATGTGCTGGACATTCAAGAATTTGGTCTTTCTTATCTTCGCCTGCATGTCCAGCAGCCTTGCAGTACTAGCTTCTCTTTAAAGCAATCACTGTTGAGCTATTTCTCACATCTTTAGTATTAGATTCTGCAAGTTTGTTTTGTTTCTGAATTTGTCTGATGTACAATCTTGTCAACATACAAATGAACCTTTACAACATACCTTCAAGTTGTTCTGTGTTTGTATCTTTTCTATGATTTTGTAGTAACTTGTTCAAATTACCTGATTACAGTTTTCTATGAAATGGACCTCAGTAATGTTTTGTTATCCAAAATAACCTGATTATGTGCCCTTTGTACATTCTGTTGCATTCTCTTCTTATCGTCTGTTGTTTAATCAAGTAATATTTGCATGCATGTATGATTGTTATAATCTCATATAATTTCCGTTATTTGCATGCTGAAATATTTTGGATGTTCTGAAAATTAGGACGTGTGTTGGACAATGTGAAAAATCTGGATGTGTGGGGCAAAGATGCTTTTCACACTGCAATTTTTCTTCAGATATTGTCTCCATTGGTGGTCCATGGTACAAGCAAGAACCTCTTTACTTGCAATGGAAACAATGGGATTGCCAGAGTGATTGTCGTTATTATTGTATGGTTGATAGAGAGAAAGAAAGAAAAGCACTTGGTCATGGTCCTGTCAAGTACCATGGTAAATGGCCCTTCAAACGTGTATATGGAATCCAGGTTTGCATTTCTAGTAGATCTATCCTCATTACCCTTTTGTTTTCTTCTTAGTTGCTTGATGTCAATCCTATTATTCTGGATTAAACTTAATGACCTATTGTTATGTGCTCAGGAGCCTGTATCTGTTGCTTTATCTGCCCTTAACCTTGCAATGCATTTCCATGGTTGGCTATCCTTTTTTGTTCTTCTCTACTATAAGTTGCCCCTAAAACAAGATAAAAAGGCATACTATGAATATGCCTCTTTGTGGCATATCTATGGGCTTTTATCATTGAACTCCTGGTTCTGGAGTGCTGTTTTCCATAGCCGGTGAGGTTCTCCTTTTGAATCAGAATTTCGTTTGCTAGGACCTTTATCGTTACTTAAACAATGGCTCCAAATTTAATTGTTTTGTCTTTTCCATCTTCGTTTCCCACTTATACATGAAATATTTTTATTTCACCATGTTCAGTTTTATATTTCTTATCTTGCATTGTCTGATGAAATGCAGAGATGTGGATTTGACAGAGAAGTTAGACTACTCTTCTGCAGTGGCACTTTTAGGATTCTCATTAATTATGTCTATACTAAGAAGTTTTAATGTGAGGGACGAGGCTGCAAGGGTCATGGTTGCTGCTCCACTGCTCGCATTTCTGACCACTCATATACTGTTCCTCAACTTCTATAAACTAGACTACGGTATTGTATCCATTATCTTTTGTCTTCTTCTATTCTAGATCAAAGATTGGTGCATAAGATACTTTAAGTCATTCTTAATTGCTAACATGACTTGAAGAACTAAGCCTTTCTTCCATCTAACAGAAAGTTTTTCATAGTATGTAGTAAGAAACTTACAAAATTCCTAACATCTTACAGGGTGGAACATGCAAGTTTGTGTTGTCATGGCAGTTGCTCAGCTTCTCCTTTGGGCAATTTGGGCTGGTGTCACTGTCCACCCTTCTCGCTGGAAGTTGTGGGTGGTGGTCATTGGAGGTGGCCTGGCAATGCTTTTAGAAATCTATGATTTCCCTCCATATGAAGGATACGTGGATGCCCATGCACTTTGGCATGCCACCACGATTCCTCTTACCTACATTTGGTGGAGTTTCATCAGGGATGATGCCGAGTTCTGCACCTCAAATCTCCTTAAGAAGGCTAAGTAGCATATCACAGAACAAACGGCAAATGTATTTGATCTTTTCTGAAAGCCGGCAGCAAAGTTTCATAGCTTAGAGGGTTTGGCATATTTTGTCTGTCTTGTAATGTCCTCTCCTTTCGTTCGAAGGGAAATGGACAGTTGGTAAAGATTTATGTGCCAGGATGGGATTGTGTAGTTGAACATGAAGCTTGTGCAGGGAAATATTTCTTTTTTATAGTCCTTTTTTTCCCCCGTCATTATCTTATCCGGATTATCCCCAAGCATCACCTTATTACAGAAGAATGTTACCCCCTGTATCACATAATGTAGTCTACTGCATTCTTGTTATGTCAATGCTTAGGTTTTGTTTTGCGGATTTGCATGTTGATCTGAGATTCTGTATGCCGGAGATGATTATATTTGGATAAGCATCACTCATGTTATAACGTAAATTTTGAGTTTTATATTTTCTTTTTCCAATTTCATTTCTTTTATTTGTCTTATTTTTATTATTATCTTTTTGTTTACTTATTTATTCTTAGTTTTATTTTTATTTTATTTTTATTTAGTTTTCGGTATTTACTACAAAAAAAAAAAAAAAAAAACCAAAAAACAAAAAAATGTATAAAGATTTGAATCACAAAAAATTATCATAGGATTTATTAGGGATATGATTGAATAAAAAATAAATTTGAAATTGAAACAATTAAGGATACAATTGAAAATCATAAAGTTGAAATTACAAGATGTAAAGGTTCAATTAAAAAAATTAAAAGTATAGAGACAAAATGACACTCAAATGATACAATTCATACAAAATTAAACCTACAGAGACCTAAATTGACACAAGATGTGAATGATAGGACCAATTTAGAATCAACTCGAACGACCTATCTTCCGAATCTTTCCAACTCTCCTATGGCACCCATAACTTGTACTACACTATCATCTAGCATTGTTCATCTCCATTAATGGCTAGAGGGACAAAACTAGCTTGCACCTATAGCTCATGCGTTTATGGCTCTTGCACTTGCACCAACTCGCATAACAAAAATATCAAAACAAGCAAAGCATAATGCATAAACATAGAACGCAGTTGTTTTGGCTCTGTTCATACGGAACAAAACCCGAGAATAAACTAGAGAGTTTGTTCTTTTGTGGGGGGGGGATTTTGGACTTAAGGGAATTGATCTTAGAAGTAAGGAGGAGGATTTTTGGGTATAAATAGGAGTTGAAATTAGGGTTTTTAAGGCGGACAAGAGAACTATAGGAAATTGCGGAGGAATTGGGAGGGAAAATTTTAGAGGAAGAAGGAAGAAGGAACACCTAAAAGGAATGACCGAGAGTAAAGAAGAGAAACAATTGACGGTAAAAGGAACAAAGAGGAACAATTGAGAGCAAAAGCAATAAAGCTTGATCTTATCCTTCACCTTGCCTTTGTCCTTATTAACAAGAAGAACGAACTCGTGTTCTTCTTATTTATTTCAAGCTAGCTTTCCTTAGAATGGATAGCAACTATTTAAGAGTCTTTTTCATATGCATCATGTTGAAGTTCATGATGATCCGTCTAAAATTATTGGGCAATGATTGTAATACCGAGTCAATGGATAACTCTACATCCATTCTAACTTCAAGTTTAGTCGGTCGTCAATATAGTCTATCATCTTAGTGACAAACTTCTCAATATTAGATCCTTTATCCATTCTAGCTCTAAAGAGCTTTTTGGCTATCTCATAGCGCTCATGCCTCGTATTCTCCTCAAATAGACTTTTGAGCTTTGTCATGATATCAAAAGCGTTTGTGCCTTTATATTAGTGCTTATGCTCTAATGTCATAGTAGCTGACTCGATGCTTTGAGCGAGTGATTATATCATCTCTATGTTTGAGCCATGCTAAATAAGCTTCGACCTAATCTTGAGGAGGCTTAACTAGGAGAGTTGTCTTTTCGTATAAAGTATATTCTCATGTTGGAGGACTATCCTCAAATTTATTTCCCAAACAAAAAAGTTAAGACACTACTTTCATCAATGATTGATCAAATTGGTGTATTGCCGGTTATACTACGCAATAACCTAATAAGATAGAAAAGTGTATGGTTTGATTAATTGATTTGTATTTTAAAAATAAAGTATAAATTAAGAAGTAAAATCTATGTTCACTCTTACTAATTTCTTCAAGTTCTATAACCTTCAATATAGGACTCAAGAAAAGTAATCGATCATTTTCCTTAGTAGGTTAGTATCCCATCCACAAACATGTATTAACCTTTATTTATCTCAACAAGTCATGCATGGGAGGATTAAGTTGGTAACTCCTTACCAATTACATCTAATGTAATTCCTAATCTCATTGATATGATAACTCCTTGTCATCTCACATGTTATATGAATACCAATCTTTACTTATGAATTTGTTGAGCCTTAAGTTATCTTAACAAACCCAACAATTCATTTTAAGGTGGACCTAAACGTTTAAGGGCATCACATGGCCCATTATTTGATTCCCTCAAAGAAGAACTGACTTTGAGTTATCTTAACAAGTTAACATTGACCAAAAAAGTTCTCTTCTCATAACCTTAAAAGGCATATAACTTGATATTTATTTGAAGGATTTTATATTATAAGGTCTCATCCTCTAATTAGTCGGATTATTCTCGCTATACAAGAGTTCAATCACATCAACCACATACTATCATGCATATTGGAGTTCAATCATATCAATCTCATACATGACTCAAGGAATAGTGAATGGTAATGAATTTCTAATGCTAGTCCCCTCGAGTCATAAAGAGACTAGTGAGTCAAAAATCTAGGTGAAGAATTATTACATCTTTTTTTTTTTTTGGATTCATCTCTTTTCTTGGCTTCTTCTTCGACACATGTTCCACTAATCTATCTTCTACTTTTATAATTTTTGAATAAAAAATCTTGAGTTACATTTGAGAGGAGTAAGATGAGAAGAGAAGATACATTCGAATATGAGAGAAGACAAGACATGCAAGCCTTATTTAACAAAAAATTACAACCATATGTTCTCAAAAGCTAGTTCGACTCATCCATACCATTCTTCCATTCTATAATCACATTGATATGTGACGCATTAACTAATGAAACATATTTTATTTTTTAATCATAAATTTCTGATTTTTCTTATTTTATAAAAATATTAAAGTTTCTTTAAATTTTAATATTTCTAAACTTTAGGCCTAGAGTTTCTAGGCCTTCGAGGCCCATGAGTTGGCTTAGCCTTATCGGCCGGTGCCTAGCACAAGCTTGCACAAACTACTAACAAGTGCCTAACACTAGCATACACATGCAATTGGCCGAGCCTAACACTAGCTTGGGCGTCTCACTAGTATTGGTTTGGGCGTTCACTAGCCAATGCCATTGTCTAACACTATCTTGGGTGCCTATTGGCTAGCGCCTAGCACTAGCTTGGGCTCCTTGCTCGCCGGTGCCTAGAACTAGCTTGGGCACCTAGCTAGCCTAGTATGCCCTTTAACATGCCTAACTCCGCCAACTAGTGTCCCGACACATAATCTTATGCACCCGGCTTGACGTGCCCCTTTGGCATGGCTACCTTACTTGCTAGTAGCTTGACGTACGAGCTTGTGTGCTCGGCTTGGTCATGGCCCGGCATACCCCTTGGCATGCTTGATCGGTCGTTGGGTCGATCGTAGCCGGCACGTGGAGTTACCAACACCTAGTGTTGGCTAATGTGTGCCCTCCCCTCTAGTCTAAAATTAATGTTTAAAGACTTATAAAATAACAAAAATCAACACATTTACAATATAAAAATCACAATTTTCATAGTTAATCAAAATTAACAACAATATAGTTAAAGATTCAACAAAGGCTCTAATATCGAGTTGAAGGATCATGCATCCTATGAAAGTGTGGAATAAACAAAAATTTTTGTTTTCCTCAATCTAAAGTCCTCGGATTATCCATTGAATCAAATAATTATATATTAATAAGATGGATTAGATGTTAACTCTTGTAGCGTAGAATCAAATTCTTAGATTGAATTATCCAAGCATCTAGTCTCTACCGATGATCCACATAGCTAAACACCATACAAAAAGTAGCTGAAAAATGTAGAATGCTAACTCTTATTTTTCTACTATATGTATATTTTCTCACAAGAAATAACCAAAGGTAGATGACGTAATTTTTCTAAAAGGGTGGGATGTTTCTTTTAAGAGAGAGATGCAATTTTCTTTCGATAGATTACTTGTGAATTATGTTCCTCTCTCCCTCTTTATATATGCAAAAACTTTTCCTTTTAAGTCCAGGTGTTATAACTCATGTGGTTTTATTTAATCGTATCCTAATAAACCTTGAATTACCCTTCCATTTAAAATACCATTGCATGCTTTCACTTATGCCTATTAGCCCAAACTCCTTTACCCTAATAATTCAATTATTAATTTAGATCATCCAAGTAAGCTAGGTTTGGTATTTTTAGGAAGGTTCACATTAGGAAATAATTTTCTAAGTTACCCTTGCAGTTTATTAAACCTAAATTAGGAAAATGATTTCTAAAATAAGAAATTGATTTTCATTTTAGGTAATTGACTTCCAAAGTAGGAAACTGATTTCTAAATTAAAAAATTAATTTCAGTTTTAAGAAACTGATTTTCAAATTAGGAAATTGACTTTCATTTCGGGAACTTGATTTTTGATATAAGAAACATTTTACAAATTCTTCACTTCTCTTTTTTTATGTGAATTGTTTAAACTTATACGTGTGACTCAATAGACTTCTACATATGTTGGCAATGTATCAAGAAGCAAAAGATATTTCTTTTATCTATCGATACATAAATCAAGATTGGCCTCTAATAAGACATCATAACTACCCAATTATCTAAAAGGATTATTCATATGTGTTCTTGGTTTGGCATCACCATGTCGGTAGGTGTGAGATCTCTTACTACTATCTTATAGCAAGAGCATAACATTCATAAATCTTACCGCATATTGTCAATCTTTAATCTTGACAATACTATAACTTGAGAAATTT